TAGATGCTTCTCTAATACCAAAGCTATTGATCTGTTTTGCCTGTATTCAAACTCGATTATAATCTAAATACAATTTCACATTTTTGTAGCTTTTTGTTTGTTTTTTTTCTCGCAAAAACAATTCAAAGTTTTAGAATTTTTCTTTTTTCTTTTTTTTTTGCTATTATTCGGTTATTAAATCGTTCAACAAAAAATCCACTTTTTGTGCTTTCACTATTCAACAATTTAAAAACAAAAGAAGTTTGCATTGAGCAAATGCCTTCTAAAAGATAAAAAATGGAGTAAAAAAACAGAAGCATGAAAAAAATTTATGATAACAGCAACAGATAGATAAACGAATAAAGCAAAATAATATAAGAGAGAACAGTTTTTTTCCAAATATTAAATTCCAGCGCCAAAGAACGGTTTCACCGATGTCACAGATACCAGCAGCATTCTCCCTACCTTTTCTTCTTGTCTACTTCCGCATCACCTTTGACGAATTCAGAGTTCCAGAAAGAATGTTCAATGGTCAAGTGAACACACAACTTTCATTACCCATAAACGAGGGTACACAAAGCCAAACCTGTTACGGTCTCTCCCTTCCCGTCCATTCCCTTCTCCTTCCAGTCCCTCCGTCCTCAGTGCTTACAAAACCATTAGCCGACAAAGCAGACAACGGTTCAAAAGCTAAGGTCAACTCACCTGCAGAACTTCTAATGCTAATCAATATAAACAAACAGTTATTTAGATTACAAATATGGTAGTGCCGCAAAAAAAAAAAAAAAAATTTTTTTTCGAGACAGAAGAGAGCATCGAAAACGATATATACATCGATATATGCAGTATAATAAAATTGCTATTTACGGTTTCAACGGTGAGGAAAAAAGATCCAACAAAAAAAGCGGAAAAAAGACGCTGTTAGTCAGCAAAGTCAGCATAAACATTACAAATAAACTTGCATGTTCACAGCAGAACATAGAAAAATCTACATACAAACATGGAGACATCTACACACAAACATACAATTGAACTCTACAACAAAAACTGTTAACCTTCAGAATTCAAATCATTTAAAGAATCAGAAAATCTCATGAATTTATAAAAAGCTTATTAAATTTGTTGTTTACCCACTGTGAGGGAATACAAACAAATTTTTGCTCTCAATCTTAGCTCAACAGCATAGACCATCGTTATAAAACACCCACATACACATACACACAAACATACGTACAGACACAGAATCGTACAACAGGACGTCCACTCCATTGCAAAATCATTGTTGTCTTCAATTTCAGTTTCATCCAATTTTTATCAACATCCATTAAAGAGTGCCAGAAGAGCACCAAGCAAATACAATAGAACTCTGCAACAAAAACCGCTCATAACATGTAAAATTAGTTACACTAAAAAACATCAGAGAACTGAACAAACTCCTATGTCTTCTTTTCTTTTTCGGTATCCTCTTAACCATCTTCAATATTGCGCTTATTACTTAATTCAATAATAACCATGCAGAAAAAAAAAACCAAAGCAGCAAAGAAAAAAGATGGCAAAAACCAGTTCATTTACTTGAAACTACCAATATACAAGGTGTTCTCAACAAGTATCTCATCATGTACCAATGGCGCAACAACAACGACATCTTATAAACAGTTTTGTCCTTCTGCAAAGGCAGATAAAGGTTCAGAAACAAAAGAAAAAAAGAACGATTAAGTCCAGACGATATAACGCCATATACATCAGATACACACACGTCTATTTTGGTTAGAATTAAGATAGCAAAAGATTTTTTTTTTGTTTTTCTTTTCCAAAAACATAAAAATTGCTTAACAACAACAAAGTAAGAGAAAAAGCGTCTGCAAAAAATAGAAA